ACTGTTTTCCATGTGAAAATGTTCACATTGCCCTGGGCCTGAGTTGTCTGCAGACTCAGTTGGGAATCTTGGCAGTTTCCTCATTGTGCGTGAATTCAGTGCTCATGCTGGACGAAAGCACCAGAGTCTGGGGAGCAGTGATGCAAGCAGGACCCAGATGTGAAAAGGCAAGCAGGCAGGGGTGGGTGGAGGAGGAGAGCAAGAAGCTGCACCACTGGACTGTGGTCCTTCTGAGGCAGAAACTGGAGCAGTTGGGTGTAAGGACCGTTTTCAGCAGCATCAGGAGACCCTACTGATAGTTCTGGAAGGGAAGCCCTCATGCAGTAGAAAATGCAATTCTCACTGTTGTTAAAAATAATTAAATTATTCTTGTGTCTGAAGACATATGCAGTGAGGATATGTGACCTCAGGAAGGAAGGGTATGGAGAGTTGGCAAAAGCTTATTTCTACCCTACAGACCTCCCCAGTGGGACATCCTGCTCACGCAGTCTGGGTGAAAGAGTACCTGTTCCTGCCTGGCTCCTGACTGAGTGACCCTCATGATGCTCTTCTGCTCAAGTCCCCTCCATCTATAACCTGCTTAGGAGTGGACTACTGGCACCACAGCTGCAGAGCATTTCTCAATGGTCTCCTCTGAACCCCTAACATGTGCACATCTCTTAAGTGAGCACCTTTGCTGCTTTTCTTGAATCAACAACTTTATTGGGATATGATTTACACATTCTATGATTCTTCCCTTTAAAGTTTTCAGTAGCTTTGAATATATTCACAAGTTGTACACCTGTCATAATCAAGTTTAGAATATTTTCCTTATACAAAAGATATCCTGTACCTCTTGACTGCCATCTCTCTGTCCCTCATACCATTTGCCCTTTAGACCTTGGAAACATTCAATATATTTTCTGTGCCTAAGGATTTGCCTTTTCTGGGCATTTCATATGAATAGAATCATAGAATACATGGTCCAATGGGCTGTCTGCTTTCACTGAGCATAATGTTTGGGGGTTCATCCATGTTGTGGCAGGTATCACTACTTCATTTTTTTTTCTTGCCCAATACTGATCTCTTGTATGGATAGACCACCTTTGTTATCCTTTGAACAGTGGGTGGACAACTGTGTTAATTCCACCTGAGGAACTATTGTAATAATGCTGCTGTTAACATTTGCATGAAGGTTTTACCTAGATGTATGTTTTCACTGCTCTTGGGTATATACCTAGCAATGGAACTCCTGGGTTGTTTGGTAACTCTGTTTAAATTATTTTATCAGTTTTATTGAAAAAAAAATGGCATACATCACTGTATGAGTTTAAGGCATATAGCATGATGATTTGATTTACATATATTGTGAAGTATACTGTGAAGTAATTATCACAATAGATTCAGCTAACATCCATCATCTCAATAAGAGGAAAAGAGAGAAGAAAAAAGAGAAAAAATTCTCCTTGTGTTGAAAACTCTTAGGATATATTCCCTTAACAGTGTTCCTATAAATCATACAGGGATGTTATCTATAGTCATCAGGTTATATATTACCTCCCTAGTACTTACTTATCTTAACTAAAATCTTGTACTTCCTCCAATTCCCCCTTTCTTACCCTGTGCCTCCACCTCTCTACAAGTCTGGTCTTTTTTCTATGAATTTATTTTATTTTATTTTTAGATTCCACCCACCAGTTAGATCATGCAGTATTTGTCTGATTTATTTTACTTAGCATAATGTTTTCAAGGAACACCCATGTTACAAATGGTAGGATTTCCTTGTTTTCTATAGTTGAATCATATATTTAAATTTTTGACAAACTATCAAACATTTTTGCAGAGGCTTGCTATTTGTCATCTAAATGTCTTTGCAGGGAGTTGGGTGTGGATATGACAACCAGGTTTGGGTTACCAAATCTGATAATGCCTCTGACACCCTGTTCCCCAGCCCTCTTAACTCCCCTTCTCTCACAATTTCTCCAGGTCAGTCAATTATGCAGCAACATGACAAAGCCACCCCTGTCCCTTCACACCCCGTTATCTACATCCTTCAATGCTACTGTGCAGTACAATAGGACTTGAGCATTTTATCTAAGGAGACTGCCATAAATATTGAATTATCTTTATCACTGCAGCTTTATAATATAACCTCAAGTCAGGAATTGTGTTTTATTTGGTGTAAAGTAAATGTGTTTCCATCAGTGTTTATTGCTGCCTATCAGTTTCATTGAAAACCCAGAGGCCTCAGACCTTCTCTTTGGGATTTTTAAACACCTGCAGCTCATCTTTAGCCAATTGTCACCTACAACAGGTTATCAATACGTTCTTGTTATTATATGTGTGTTTTTCAGTTAGGTTGAAAATTTCCCCTGCTACAAAGCTGACACACTCACAGTGGCACAGAAACTGGTAGAAAATGTGTTTCCCAGATGGGATATACCTTCCATAATCTCTAGTGACTGAGGCAGCCATTTCATTAGACAAATCATACCAGCTTTAACAAAAACCTTGCAAACTTCTTGGAATCATCACTGGCCCTACCATCCTCAATCATCAGGCAAGTTTGAGAGATTTAATGGGATCCTCAAACTTAAAATTTTTAAACTAGCCAAAAGTACCAGACATTCCTGCCCTAAGGTATTGCCTTTGGACTTGCTGACTGTTTGTAGTACCCTCTTTGGGCAATGTAAACTCACCCCACACAATATAGTCACTGGAAGACCAACGTCTATTGGTATACAACTTTCTGCTGATCCCTTGTTGTATCATGCTAGTATGACCAACTATGGCAAAATATCTAATGTTTTACCACCAAACCTATCATCAATAGGTTAAAGATGTCTTCCCAGATCTCAATTCAAAGGATCCTGTTGGTCATAGTCTAGAGCCTGGTGACTGGGTATTTTAGAATTGTCATCAGAAAAATACAGCTTTTAAACTTGATCAAAAGGGATCTTACCAAGTGCTCCCAACCACTCACATTGTGACAAAACTAGAAGGTGTTGAATCTTGGGTACACATTTCACAGCTAAAGAAGGCTTTACCTGACATCTGGTCCTGCACAGATACTAGAGACCTCCAAATCAAACTCATGAGGAAGCTAAGTAGCTAACATTGAGGTAGACTGCTTTTACCCAAGACAATAGGTCAAGTCTTCATACTTTAACTAATGTGAAACACTTTCTCCTTTTTTCCCTTTCCTTTACTCTGGAATAGTCTTGTAAAAACAATGCCCTCAGCTGTATGTCTGAGCCAGTTGCTCAGAAGGGGGAATAAACTCCAGAATTTAAAACAACCTTTTATTTTAGGCTAAGAGAAAATCTAATCATGTCCTTAAGTTTTCTCAAGCAAGATAAGACATCTCATTGTTCAACTGCCTTGTATTTACATCACTGAGTTAAAAAAGACCAACCAGGACACATTCATGACCCAGGATTTGCTTTCTTTGACAGGGTTATGCTTCCCTTGGTTAACAGTAAATTTACAGGACAATTTGATCAGGAACCTTTCCTTAACTCCTAAAGATATTACAAAATCCATTCCTAAGACAATAAATGCCCAAGAAAGATCCCTAGACTCTCTGGCCAACGATTGTCTTGACAATAAGACAGCCTCTGATTATCTTTTAGCCTAGCAAGAGCTGTCTATACTGTAACCAACATCACCAGTGCATCCAGATTAACACTTCTGGGGAAATTGAAACACAACTACATAAGATCACTGAGCAAGCCACTTGGCTTAAAAAGATGACTCCATTAGTGGGGACTTCCTTTGGCTTATTTGATTTTGAGTATTTGGGTCTTGGAAACCATGCCTTCAAAGTACACTCTAATCATTAAAAAGAATCCTGTTTATAAAAATTATAATAATCTACCAGGTATATTGTATGGTATCAAAAGTTTTAAATGCATGTTCACCGGTGCTAACCACTAAGCAAATAATCTCCCTGAGACTGGAATGTCAGACAAAGAATGTAGAGGGATGGCTGATACCAAAAGGGTGAATCTGAAGTCATCACCTGTGAATATCACAGAGATTAAGCAAGAACATCATGACATGTGAATACCACGCAAAGGATCAACAAAAGCTGCAAGAACCACTGAAGAGTAGCTCAAGTTGGCACCATTGCCTTACATTTTGATCACATCTTTAAGTTAAGCTTAGAGTCTGAACAAAGTAGGGGAATTGTGAAAAGAAGTTCCACAGGGCCACAGGGTCACAAGGCCATAGGAGCCTCTTAAGTTAAGGCCTGACCTCATTAAACCAAGACCAAATACCTAACCTAACTACAGTTTCACTCCCCTGGGCATGTATAATTTAACCAGTCAATGTAAGATCAGCCATGGGAAATTTGCTGGTAGACCCTTTCCCTTCCCCTTAGGAGAGCAATCCTGACTAAAGCAATGGATTCTTGGGGTCCCAGTGTGGCTCAGTTGGTGAAGCATCCTACTCTTAATCTCAACTCAGGTCTTGACCTCAGGGTTGTGAGTTCAAGCCCCAAATTGGGCTCCATGCTGGGCATGGAGTGTACTTAAAAAATAAAAATAAATAAACCGCAATGGATTCTTTGATAATATTTTTCCCCTTCCTCTCTTCCTTTAAAAACATTTTCCTACAGTTCAATAGAGCTCCTTTGTATTTGCTAGATAAGATACTATCTAATTCATGACTCATTTAATAAAGCCAATCACTCTTTCCTATTTATTCAGTTGAATTGTCTTTTAACAGCTAATATGCATTGTCTCCCCAGGGGAAGGTACATTTAGGCACGAGATGGGGGATGTCTGACCCAGAAACTCTTGGGAAAAGCCCCTATCCCCTGACACCCCTGAAATTCACATGTCCCAAATATTTAAATGCTCTAATTGAGTTACAGCCATCCACCACATATCCTGCCCCTCAGACTTCCACGTCCACAACACCCAAAATCAAGCATGCAGACTCTCCTAACCTCAGGCCTACAGATCTGTAATTTTATTTTTAGACCTGTACTCAATCCAAGATGATTTCTTGCTTACGAGCTTCTGAAGAAAAAGAGACTTCTGGTGTTCAGAGCTGAGCTCTGAATGTGTCCAGGCAGCACAGAAAATACTGAACCTGGATGAAGTGCTCCCTGCAGCCCACAGCAGGAACACTCTTCTGCACAGACTGGCCTTGCACTGGAACAGGTCCTGTGTGCTGGTAAAGTCACTGCAGAGATTAAAGAGCTGAGTGTCACCCCAAATGGCTACACTGCCTGTGAGGAGTGGGCAGGGTTTAAAAAAATCTCTGGCCTCTGCTCCACCCTCACAGGAATCTGGCCACGGTAAAGAAGAAGCCATCCCAGTGTAGTGTCAACAGAATGACAAAGAGGAGGAACCCCCCAAAAGGAAACATTCAGAGACTGTGGCCTCTGCCACAGAACTAATTGATATAGATATAACAAGATATCAGAAATTGACTTCAGAGTACAATTATCATGGTGATATTTAGGCTGCAGAAAAATATTAACAACAATATAGAATCTCTAAGAGCAGAAATGAGATCTAATCAGGCCAAACTTAAAAATGCTATGAATGAAATGCAGTCTAAACTGAATACTCTGACTTCCAGGGTAAACCAGGCAGAAGAACGAATTAGTGAGATAGAGGATAAGATGATAGAAAAGAAGGAAATCGAAAAGCTTGGGAAAAACAGATTAACACCCAAGGAATCAAACTGAGAGATTAGTGACTCAATGAAACATTCCAATGTCAGAGTGATTGGGATCCCTGATGGGGTGGAGAGAGAGAGAGGTCTAGAAGATATATTTGAGCAAATCATAGCTGAGAACTTCCCTAATCTGGGGAAGGAAACAAGCATTTGTGTCAAAGAGGCAGAGAAGACCCCTCCCAAGATCAATGAGAACAGACCAAAGCACGACATATAGTAGTACAATTCGCAAATCGTAGATCCAAGGAAACAATCTTGAAAGTGGCGAGGAGGAAGTGATTTCCTATGTATAGAGGGGGGAACGTCAGAATAACCTCAGACCTGTCCACAGAGACCTGCCAAACCAGAAAGGGCTGGCAAGACATATTTGGGGTACTAAATGAGAAGAACATGCAGCCAAGCAAGGCTGTCATTCAGAATGGATGGAGAGAAAAGAAGCTTCCAAGACCAGCAGAAACTGAAAGAATATGTGTCCACCAAGCCAGCCCTGCAAGAAATATTCAGTGGGGTTCTATAAAAGAAGAAAGACCTCAAGAGTAATAGACCAGGAATTTATAGAGACAATCTATAGAAACAAGGACTTCACAGGTAACATGATGGGAATAAAATCACATTTTGCAATAATCACTCTCAATGTGAACAGCCTAAATGCTCCCATGAAAAAGCACAGTGTTGCAGATTGGATAAAAAGACAGGACCCATCCATATGCTGTCTACAAGAGACTCATTTTGAACCTAAAGATACATCCAGACTGAAAGTGAGGGGATGGAGAACCATTTTTCATGCCAACAGACCTCCAAAGAAAGATGGGGTAGCAATTCTCATATCAAACAAATTAGATTTTAAGCTAAAGATGGTAGTTAGAGACACAAAAGGACACTATATCATTCTTAAAGGGTCTATCCAACAAGAAGATCTAACAATTGTAAATATCTATGCCCCCAACATGGGAGCAGCCAACTACATAAGCCAACTGTTAACCAAAATAAAGAGACATGTTGATAATAATATGTTAACAGTAGGAGACCTCAACACTCCTCTCTCAGCAATAGACAGATCATCTAAGCAGAAAACCAACAAAGAAACAAGAGCTTTGAATGACACACTGGACTAGATGGACCTCACAGACATATACAGACCATTCCACCCTAAAACAACAGAATACTCATTCTTGGAACTTTCTGCAGATTAGACCATATACTGGGTCACAAATCAGGTTTCAACTGATTCTAAAAGATTGAGATTATCCCCTGCATATTCTCAGACCACAATGCTTTGAAACTGGAACTCAATCACAAAAAAAAAAATTTGGAAGAAATTCGAACACTTGGAAGCTAAAGACCACTCTGCTAAAGAATGTTTGGGTCACCCAGGAAGTCAAAGAAGAACTTAAACAATTCATGGAAACCAATGAGAATGAAAACACATGGGTCTAAAACCGCAAAGGCGGTCCTAAGGGGGAAATACATAGCCATCCAAGCCTCACTAAAAAAAAATAGAAAAATCCCAAATACACAAACTAACTTTACAACTTAAAGAACTGGAGAAAGAACAACAAATAAAGCTTAAGCGAAGCAGGAGAAGAGGAACAATTAAGATTAGAGCAGAGATCAATGAATTAGAAAACAGAAATACAGTGGAGCACATCAATGAAACTAGAAGCTTGCTCTTTGAAAGAATTGATACCATGGTTAAACCACTGGCCAGATTATCCAAAAGAAAAGAAAAAGGACCCAAATTAATAAAATTATGAATGAAAGAGGAGAGATCACGACTAACACCAGGGAAACAGACAATTATTAGAAATTATTGTCAACAACTATATGCTAATAAATTAAGCAAACTGGAAGAAATGGATGCTTTCCTGGAAACCTATAAACTACCAAGACTGAAACAGAAAGAAATTGACAACCTGAATAGACCAATAACCGGTAACAAGACTGAAGCAGTGATCAAAAACCTCCCAAAAAACAAGAGTCCAGGGCCTGATGGATTCCCTGGGGAATTCTACCAAACATTCAAAGAAGAAATAATACCTATTCTCCTGAAGCTGTTTCAAAACATAGAAATAGAAGGAAAACTTCCAGACTCATTCTATGAGGCCAACATTACCTTGATCACAAAACCAGGCAAAGACCCCATCAAAAAGGGTAATTACAGACCAATATCTGTGATGAATATGGATGCCAAAATTCTCACTGAGATCCTAGCCAATAGGATCCAACAGTACTTTAAAAGGATTATCCATTGCGACTAGGTGAGATTTATTCCTGGGATCAAAGTGTGGTTCAACATTTGCAAATCAAACAATGTGATAGAACACATTAATAAGAGAAGAGACTAGAACCATATGATCCTCTCAATTGATGCAGAAAAAGCATTTGACAAAATACAACATCCTTTCCTAATTAAAACTCTTCAGAATGTAGGAATTTGAGGAAACATTCCTCAACTTCATAAAAACCATCTACGAAGAGCCCACAGCGAATATCATTCTCAATGGGGAAAGCTGAGACTTTTTCCCTTAAGATCAGGAACACAAGGATGCCCACTCTTGCCACTATTGTTCAACATAGTACTAGAAGTCCTAGCCTCAGCAATCAGACAACAAAAACAAATAAAAGGCATTCAGATTGGCAAAGATAAGTCAAACTCTCTCTTTTCGCAGATGACATGATACTTTATGTGGAAAACCCAAAAGACTCCACCCCCAAATTACTAGAACTCATAAACTCATACAGCAATTCTGTAATGTGGTAGGATACAAATGTCAATGCACAGAAATCAGTTGCTTTCTTATACACTAACAATGTAACTGTAGAAAGAGAAATTAGAGAAATGATTCCATTTACAATAGCACCAAAAATCATAAGATATCTTGGAATAAACCTAACCAAAGAGGTAAAGGATCTATACTCTAAGAACTACAGAACACTCATGAAAGAAATTGACTAAGACACAAAAAGATGGAAAAATATTCCATGCTCATGGATCAGAAGAATAAACATTGTTAATATGTCTATGCTGCCCAGAGCAATCTATACCTTCAACACCATCCTGATCAAAATTCCAATGACATTTTTCAAAGTGCTGGAACAAACAATCCTAAAATTTGTATGGAACCAGAAAAGACCCCGAATCACCAAGGAAATGTTGAAAAAGAAAAACAAGGCTGGGGGCATCACGTTGCCTGATTTCAAGCTATATTACAAAGCTGTGATCACCAAGACAGCATGGTACTGACACGAAAACAGACACATAGGCCAACGGAACAGAATAGAGAGCCCAGATATGGACCCTCAACTCTATGGTCAAGTAATCTTCAACAAAGCAGGAAAAAATATGCAATGGAAAAAAGACAGTCTCTTCAATAAATGGTGCTGGGAAAATTGGACAGCCACATGTAGAAGAATGAAACTCGACCATTCTCTAACACCATACACAAAGATAAATTCAAAATGGATGAAAGACCTCAATGTGACACAGGAATCCATCAAAATCCTAGAGGAGAACATAGGCAATAACCTCTTTAATATCGACCACAGCAAATTTTTTCAAGACACTCTCCAAAGGCAAGGGAAACAAAGGTGAAAATGAACTTTTGGGACTTCATCAAGATAAAAAGCTTCTGCACAGCAAAGGAAATAGTCAACAAAACAAAGAGGCAACCCACAGAATGGGAGACGATATTTGCAAATGACACTACAGATAAAGGGCTGATATCCAAGATCTATAAAGAACTTCTCAAACTCAACACCCAAAAAACAAATAAGTCAAAAAATGGGTAGAAGACATGAACAGACACTTCTCAAAAGAAGACGTACAGGTGGCTAACAGACACATGAAAAAATGTTCATCATCATTAGCCATCAGGGAAATTCAAATCAAAACCACATTGAGATTCCACCTTACACCAATTAGAGTGGCAAAAATTGACAGAGCAAGAAACACCAAATGTTGGAGAGGTTGTGGAGAAAGTGGAATCCTCTTACACTCTTGGTGGGAATGCAAGCTGGTATAGCCACTTTGGAAAACAGTGTGGATGTTCCTCAAAAAATTCAAAATAGAGCTACCCTATGACCCAGCAATTGCACTACTGAGTATTTACCCTATGATACAGAGGTAGTGAAAAGAAGGGCCATATGCACCCCAGTGTTCATAGCAGCAATGTCCGCAATAGCCAAACTGTGGAAAGAGCCAAGATGCTCTTCAACAGATGAATGGATAAAGAAGATGTGGTCCGTATATACAATGGAATATTACTCAGCCATCAGAAAAGATGAATACCCAACTTTTGTATCACCATGGATGGGACTGGAGGAGATTATGCTAAGTGAAATAAGTCAAGCAGAGAAAGTCAATTATCATTTGGTTTCACTTATTTGTGGAACATAAGGAATAGCATAGAGGACATTAGGAGAAGGAAGGGGAAAATGAAGGGGGGGAATCAGAGGGGGAGATGAACCATGAGAGACTATAGACTCG